CTTCATGTCTGTCCATGCAAAGATTTGCTTCAATCGGCAATAGGTGACGGAAACGCCGGAGTGCCCACCAACAGCAGTAGAGTGCACCGCTGCAATCAGACGAGTCTGCAACTCAGGATCAGCACCCACCCAAATACGACATTTGTATCGCAGCAGTCCATCACGAAGAGTAAAGTAAGTGACCGAATCCGGGGCCACGGCCAACTTGGCAAGCAATTCTTGGGCTCGCGCATCATGAGAGTATGATTCCACCACGGCCTCCAACCACTGAGGCTGACAAACTGACAGCGCGGCCAAATGCGTGGAAGGACAACGGGAGAGGGCATGAGCCGCCCCATTATCCGCGCCCTTGCGGTAGACAATCCGGTATTGCAAACCAATGAGTTTGGTGAAGACTTTTTGCTGCCAGGGTGTGTGAAGCCTTTGATCGGTCAACTGTACTAGACTGCGATGATCGGTGATGATCTGAAACTCGGCATGCTGCAGATAACTGCGCCAGTGCTCTAGTGCCAACAAGATAGCCATATATTCCTTCTCATATGTGGATAACCCTTTCAAGCGGGGTCCCAAGACTTTGCTGAGGAATGCCAAGGGATGACCCCCTTGCATCAGTACAGCTCCAATTCCAGTACCGCTAGCATTAGTCTCCACGACAAAAGGGCGGCGGAAATCAGGCAGAGCCAACACGGGGGCGGTGGTCAGAGCATGCTTAAGAGCTGAGAAGGCCTTGTCCTGGCTATCTGTCCAAACATATACAGCTCCTTTGCGAAGAAGATCTGTCAAGGGTTTGGATAGGATGCCAAAGTGCTTAACAAAGCGTCTGTAGTAACCGGCGAGTCCCAAGAAACTACGCAATTCTTTAACTGACTGTGGAACAGGCCATTGCAAGACCGCCTGCACCTTATCAGGGTCAGTGGCCACACCTTTCTCAGAAATCACATGCCCCAAGTAACGAAGCTGGCGTTGGGCAAAGTGACATTTGGACATCTTCACTTGCCAGTGATCCTGCTGAAGCAACTGAAAGACCAACCGCAAATGCTCAACATGTTCTTCATAGGAATGACTGTAAATGAGAATGTCGTCAAAGAAAACCAATACACATTTGCGCAACAGAGGGTATAGAGTAGTGTACATGGCCTTGAGAAAGGTGGCGGAGCTCCTGTGAGACCAAAAGCCATGACACGAAACTCGTAATGGCTGGTGTGAGTTTGAAAAGCAGTCTTGAATTCCTCCCCACTCTTCAACCTAATCTGATGGTATCCTGCTGTCAGATCGAGACAAGAAAACCAAGATGCATGTGTGAGTTCATCGAGAAGCTCTTCAATGACTGGTACTGGATATTTAGCTTTGGCGGTGATGGTGTTGAGTTGTCTGAAATCCACACAAAAGCGATATGAGCCATCCTTCTTCTTGACCAGTAACACTGAGGAAGAAAATGGACTAGAACTTGGCTGGATCAGGCCGGCGTGCAGCATTTCAGTCACTTGACGCTCAATTTCATCCTTAAGCAAGGGAGAGTAACGATAGGGCCTGACAGAGAACGGACTGGCTCCCGGTATCAATGGAATGGCATGGTCACAATGGCGTGCCGGCGGATAGCCAGTCAGAGGAGCAAAGACAGACTGAAACTCTGTTATGAGTGCTGCAATCTCAGGCGGAACAGGCTCTGGACTTGCCACAGTAGCATCCGACAGCATAGTGGTAACCTGAATGACAGAACCGACAGGTAGACTCATCAGCTCACCTTGCAATAAACTGTGGCCTTGACCATAGGGAATTATCATCCATTTGCTATGCCAATCCACAATGATGCATAGAGCATGACTACTCCAAGGGCAAATGAGCAAACTATCTTCACTATGACCATGAGAAAGAAGAGTCCTTCCATCCCAAAGATCATAGCATACCTTATGTAGAAGAAATCATACAGGAATGCTAACTCCATCTCGATAGCCCTGAATGCTTCTGTGTACTCATCACTAGCGTTGTTATCTGATAGCAACCCTTCAAGAACGAACCGACGTGTCTCTGGAAGGCTAGCCTCAGCACAATCCATCCCGAAGAAGCGACGCCTCAGCATGTGGGACAAGGATTACTATAGGCATGCACCTTTAATCCGCAAGCTGCTGAGACCATGTGAGATGAGCTTTTCTTCATTGCCCTCGTCCCAGATCATGCCAACAGTAACAACACCTTCCTTTGGTACTTACTGCCTCACATCTGTACAACGAGCTTTTACCATTCCATGTACCGGTGACCTTGTAGGCAGGCCAGTGGACGATGTACCTGCAGCCCTTCATGGTGACAGGGTCAAAGGAGTCCTCTTTGGAGTGATCACCTCCTGCTAATGTTGAGTTGGCAGCCACGGCGGCCGCGGCATAATCCTTCATGTAATCTGCTACCACTTTGCTAGGATAGGAGTAGTTGACCATCCAGCTAGCTATGGTTCTAAATGTATGAGCAAAGCAGACAGCAGTAAACAGGATGAAGACAGGAAGAGTGGTAGGATACCACAAAAACTGACGTCGTATCCTATACAGGATCGACATTGCTGTAGTTCTTTCTTCGCTGCGGTCTTCTGTGTTGGGGTAGAACAATTGAAATATTACTATGCCGCGCTGAAGTAGATGTCGTACTGAAGAATATCGAAGAAACCTCGCTTCCGCTTCCTGTTGTCATCGAGGTCATAGGCTGTGATGGAGTTAGCGCCCCCTGCGATCAGGAAAAGAGAGAGTGCCCACACGGGATACATACATACAACCGTCACCTGAGATGACTGCATCAGGCCAAGGGTATATATGACAAGAGGGGGGAGGAGAGTGTAGGACACCCACAGCCCCCCTTGGATAAAGGCGTTGTTGCTACACCGGCGAAGGGAACCGCATAAGAGCTGGAAGAACAGCAGCACAGCCGCTGCTGTCATGAAAACCTCCACTTGCATTACTGCCCGCAGCGTCTTGTGATATATTTGGGCCGGGGTATCATCGCAATTCACGCTTTGTTTGCCTACTGTCACCATGGAGGTCACCGCTTCTATATATCTGCAACAAGCTTCCTTTCTAGCGAGGCTTAATTATAGGGAACTGAGTGCTGGTTGTTCAGGAGGTAGGCTGTACAGTCTCTTCAACACAAGTGTGTCTACAATGCCCTGGTGTCGCTTCTTGAACACAAATGCAGGGTAAAAGCATCCTCGGCCAAAATAACACACAGGTTCTTCTTCCTTTGGTGTATTGACTTTAATTACCACCATTCATTTTGCTTCCTCAAAATGTCTGACTGAGTTAACTTTCACACAGCGTCATCATCCATGTATCACATGAGTCCAAGCGCCTTTTTTTTCCACGTGAAACTAAAGTCGCTGTAAAAGGATATAACAAATGTATTTTAGAATGTGTTCCAACTCGTGTTCCTGTAGTTATTATTGTCTATGCTGATTTGGGACCACATAATTGGTGACCGAATTTTTCTGATTTTCTATGGATCACTAGAATTTATCCTTTTTTAGCATGTTCTATGAGGATTAATATGGGCTCTTGGAAACAGAAATGCTATACAACACATATATATTTTAGTAAAAAAAAACACATGAATTTTTTTTATCTCTCCCCCTCTCTCTTTCTCACGTTGTATCGCTGCTAGCTATTGCCTATGGCTTGGCTGCATGCAATGGCTGTAGCTTGATCAATCTTTTCATTGTTTCGGGCCCACCTGTCAACGGCCTGGTTGTCACCGCCGCACTGACATGCATGATCCGGCAACGGGGGAACCCAGTTGCATTAGTCTGCTCGCGATACCGCATGGTCGATGCAGCCGGCCGCTGGCCGTTGCACCAGTTCCAGCGTAAAAGAACAATGTCCGTCTACACAGCCTGTCGTACCAGCCAGTGGAAGGTGGAAACCAACACCAACTGTCTGAAAAGCACCAATGGATGAATGGAAGGATATCGATCATCATATCAGAAGTGGCGGCGGCGGCAGGACGTCAGCAGTGGTGGCGGCGGCGGATCTGTGATTTGTCCTTCCATAGAAAAAAAAATTATGATCTGTGATCTGTGGAGGCTGGAGATAGAAAAAGGGTGGAGGCCGTTGGATCTTAATCCTATGATGCAAAAAAAAAATCATATGTTGAAACTGTATAAAACACATGGTTCCTTAAAAAATGAGGCTTCAATCTTACTTACTAATTGTAGCCCCAAAGGTGCCTCTATGTTCATTCTCCCAAGACGCGTTAGAAAAAAAAAGATAAACCATATAAATTCTCAAGAAAAAAGAGACATCTGACCATAAATTCGGTAGACTATAATCATAATTACCAATAATAGACATCAGATCTATTTAGTTTTTTTCTAAAAAAATATCCTGGTTTTTTTTATTATGAATAACATAAAGGAAGCCCTAATTTTACCTCAAATTACCCACTGGTACTGTTATGAAAGATAATATAAACCCCTAAATTCGCATTAAATTATCCATTGCCTAAAGGAACCCTCTAAACACTACCGGAATCCTCAAATTTGCCGAGTGTTTTTATGTTTGCCGAGTGTATTCCCTCGGGCACTTGCCGAATAAGTTCTTTGCCGAGTGCTGCGCTACTGAGTCCATATCCCTTTAATTACATCTGACTTGTACCTGCAAGAAGAATCCTCCCCAACTACCTACAAATCAAACTGTCATAAATCTCTTCCAAAAACTAACCAACCATGCTCCTTTGCCTGATGGAATATTCCCACACACTATCTTGAGCTGATTAACTATGATCCAATTAACAATTTTCAAACATGAGAAGAAATGAATATACTGCCTACAAGAAAGAAGGTGCATGTATCAAAGACTGAAAATAACAAGCGTGTTCCACAGATGGTGGAGGCATTGATACTTCTCTCCGCCTCCTCGATTAATAGTTAAGACCATCTGCACATACACAGCCTATTAATTTATTAAACTACTGCATAATAATCCGTCTAGTTCTGTACGGGAATAGTTGCAAAATAATCACTACGCTTAGAACGGGAATATATACAAATGCAAGTCCTGACTGTGCAATAAAGGGGCCAATTTGGATCTTTTTAGATTGTGCACCCGATCTCCCGTGGACGGCAGCCTGCATTCCCAATCCGAGCTCCCCGCCTCCGCAAGCGACTCTGCCCTCCATAGCACCCGGAACGCCCTAGGACAGTTGTTGACAGCATGGTTGCAGGGCACCTGGTTGCTAGGTTGCTCGTATGACACGAGACGGCGCCTGCTCCGGCCGCAGTTGTGGATCCACGAGGTCGCCGGTTGCTCCGTCGAAACCTAGAAAGGGGAAAGTGGGTCGGACAATGCAAAAAATAAATTGTACAACTATCTGTAAACCACAGTGCAAGATCTGTGTATCAAGGCGGACAAGACGGGCCTAAGTTCAACAAGTGCTACTTCGGAAGCAAACGGTTAATGTTGTGAGCCAGAGACTTCAGAGTTTTATATATGGAAATCCGGACCTGAAATTACGGTGGACCTCGTGGGTCTCGCAGAGGATAGGGAGGAGCAGGACTCTTACCATACCTCGATTCAGATACCTGATGAACATGCTGCTGTCCCACAGCCGGATTGCGTTGCTTCTCAGCTAACTCGGCATCCTGCCTCCCGGATCGAGGTGCGGCAAGGCGGGTAACGGCGTCGGAAGGGCGGCAGGGCCCACGCACCGCTGCAGGGAGTGGGCGAGGCCCGCGCGCCACCGCCCATAGATAGAGGGCCGCGCGCGCACCGCTGGCTTGGAGGAAGAGCCACACGCACCGCCGGCTTGGAGGAAGAGCCACACGCACCACCATTGCCGCCTGGGAGGGAGAGAATCGCGCGCCTTGGACGGTGCGAAGTAGGGCAGCGCCGGCAGGGATTGGTTGAGGAGCGGCGCTGGTAGGGGCTGGGTTGAGGCCTAAGGGGCGTTGCCGGCGGGGGAGGGTTGACGAGCGGCGCCGGCGGCGGGTGGTACGGAGCAGGCCAGCGGACAAGTATGAGGAACCGAAAAGATCGTGCCATCGTGGGTGGTACGGAGCTGACGAGATGTGATGGTGCTCGGGCCTCGGTGAGGAAAAAAAACTGGGCCGGGCCTGGGAGTCGGAGCGGACGGGGTGCAGCTGGGTGGTGGGTACTGAATATTTATTTGGTACGTAGGTACCATATAGTAATACTATATATATATATATATATATATATATATATAATAAAACAAATGACCTGTCCGAATTTTCTAATCTTAATCATTAGTAAATAAATTTAAAATTATTAGGACGATATTACATTATTACTTAGTACTAATTATGACGAATATTAGTTTGATATGGGCGCCCTCAACGGTGGTCGTAGTCATTAGCATCTGTCAGACTTTGTCCAACGAGGAAGAAAGAGATTGGAAAGGAAAGAGACTAGCGAGCTGCGAAGCTGATAGTCTCTCACGTATATCAATGAACACTGTGTCTTTGCTTCATCTCGCGTAGACTTGAGCATGACAGGGGAGGACCGAGAGAGCACTTGGTAGCTTCTGCTAGCTTCTGGCACTTGCGCTTCCTTTTCCTTGTGATGCTGGAAGTGTAGGTACCATAGACGAAAGGTGGATGAACCTGACTGGAGTAAGAAACAAAATAAAATAGGATGCTACCTGGAGCAGAGGGATCTGCGGCCTTTGCTCGTGTGTATCTCCAAAAGCGGCCTTTCTTTTTCCTCCTACCTCTACGCACAAGAGCTTCCGGGATCGCCTCTGCCAGCTTTGTGAATTGTGGCACTTCCTTGTGCAGCTATGAACTGCCGACCATGGCCATGGCCAGTTACAAGGACTCAGCTGGAAAAGCGTACCGGTACGAGCATCGTTGTCCCTGTGGTTGTCGAGCACGGTTGGTTGGTGGCAGACCGCGGAGAAAAAGGGGATTCCTCCTAGATTCATACCACAAATTAAAGCTAGCTTAGATGCAGCAGGGTCCCCTTCGCGGGAAGGAAGTTGTCGCGTAGTTGTGTTGTGGTGCACGTACCATGGGGACACATTTCGTCGAACGGGCGACGCACACTGCTGACTGTCGAGTGCTCGTGTTGCCTCCCATGCCAGAGTGCTCGACAACCACAGGGACACCGATGCATTTTTTTCCTGTCATACTGCAAGTTCCCCAAGATCAACAAATTGCACTGTTTACTCCAGTCCAGAAATAAACAGGGCAAATTTGATGCCAACAGTGAGAAGGGCGACGTCGCGACGACTTGTTGGCTGTCAGTCAAGCCTCCCAGTCTCAGCCCCACCCACACGCTTTAATTTTGTCCAGCGACGGAAGGAGCAATGACGAAGACGCAATTTAACAACGATGCATTTGGATAAAAAGAATTATAGATGTGATATCCTGTCGGTTGTTGGAGGCCCAATAGGACACATGTCGGCTGCTGGAGGCCCGATAGGACTCATATCGGCGTCCCAAAAGCCGCGGGGGCCACATACAAGACAGTGTGGGGGCCTGTCGGCCTTCTCGATGGCCGATAGAATCCTCTCGGCCAGCGGAAGGCCGACAGAGAGCTAAAACATCAGGCCCCAGTGCGCTCTCTCTCTCCCTCATGGCGGCCGGCGCGCGTGCCCTTCCCCACCCGGCCCGCGGGCTACTCGTCGCCGTCTGCTTGGCGGCTGCTGTGAAGGTAAGTTTTTTTTTAATTTAGATTTTCTTTTTTTAGTTACTTTATTAGTTAGTTTAGTTAATTAGATTAGTTAGTTAGTTTAGTTGTAGATTAGGGTTTGTTTTAGGGTTAGGGTTAGTTTAGTTTGATTTAGTTTTTTAGTTAGTTTAATTTAGTTTAGTTAGATTACTTAGTATATTTAGTTAGTTTAGTTAATTAGATTAGTTAGTTAGTTTAGTTTTAGGGTCTATTTTTAGGGTCAGTTTTAGTTGTAGATTAGGGTTTGTTTTAGGGTTAGGGTTAGTTTAGTTTGATTTTGTTTTTTTAGTTAGTTTAATTTAGTTTAGTTAGATTACTTAGTATATTTATTTAGTTTAGTTAATTAGATTAGTTAGTATAGTTTTAGGGTCAGTTTTTTAAGGTTAGTTTTAGTTGTAGATTATGGTTTGTAAGATTCTCTAAGTTTGTAAGATTCTCTAAGTTATGGTGTATGTTATATGTCTGGAAAAGGAGATCAAATATTTTTAGCGTTGCTCGAAAAGTGGTCAAGTTTTTTGCGTGGTAATGGTTGTGTTCGGGAAAGGTATTGAGTGCTAACACAACATAAAATAGTGTAGTCGGGTGCTGTGTTGCCGAGGGGCCCGTTGGCTGACCAAAAGCTGATTAGGACATGTCGGCCCTCCAGCGGCCGGCAGGTCTGCTGTCGGTGCTGACAGGTCGGCGTCGGCTGCCACGTGAGCCGATGACATCCCGACATGGGACCTGTAGGCCTTCCAACAGCCGAGAGGGGTCCTACTTCATTTTTGCTTCGTCTCTCCGGCCGGCACGGGTCGATAAACCATGGCCCTGCCTCTCTGCAGCCTGCACCACTAGGCTAGCGTACGCCGACTCCAAGACTGTAACGTCGTCATCTATCCGGTGATACCAAATCTCGGATCCCAGCTCACGTATCCGATACAAATCATTTTCCACTCGGAGATCACGTGTTCGCGTTCTAGATACAAAGGCCGGATCTACGTGCCCATGGATCTCATGCATCCGCGTGAGGTTTATTCCCTACCTCATTCAGAACCATGGAGCTCACGCGTTCGCGTGAGGTTTAGTCCAAAAATCTAAGGTCCCAGTGCAACGCACGGGCATGTATTTAGTATATATATATATAATAAAACAAATGACCTGTCCAAATTTTCTAATCTTAATCATTAGTCAATAAATTAAAAATTATTAGGACGATATTACATTATTACTTAGTACTAATTATGACGAGTATTAGATTGATATGGGCGCCTCAACGGTGGTCGAAGTCGTTAGCATGTGTCGGACTTTGTCCAACGAGGAAGAAAGAGATTGGAAAGGAAAGAGACTAGCGAGCTCTTGAGCGATAGTCAAGCACGTATATCAATGAACACCGTGTCTTTGCTTCATCTCGCGTAGATTTACTCTTTTATTTTTTAGTGTCTCTCGCTGCCACATCAGCTGACGTTTTAGGATTGTTGTTGAGGACTCCGTGCTACTACGGTCATAGATGCATTGATTTGTGTGCCAATTAATGTAGTAGTAGATTAGTATATATTTTTATTTTAGAGGCTTAAACGTTCATGCCTTTGTTTCAAGCTTAAATAGTAATTTTGCTTTGTTTTATAATCTTTGGGATTTTAACCCTGCATTTTCAAATTGAAGAAAGTTTTCTTATTTCGTGAAGTCCCCCTTATTAACGGTACTGACTTTTGTTAAAAAAAGGACAAGTTTAGTCATGCGATGTTGCCCCTATTTTATTATAGGTCTTATAATTTTATTGGAATCAAATGTTTAGGCTATATTTTGACAGATTTGACAAGGATTTCAACGACAAACTTGAGACGGTTTGTGTACATTTTAAATCTGGACGGAACTTGACACTTTTTGACCGTGTCCACCAATTCAGAGCAAACACAGAGAGGCCATGGTGCAGCCCGGCCCGTGACATTGGGGCTGCCCTTGATCCCTAGCACCTTGTCGCTCCACTCACGGAGAAGATGTCTATTTCAAGTCTCAATGATCGCATTTGACGCTCATGAAGACACCGCACCTTGGGCAGACATGACGTTGAAGCTCGGAATGGTAGAAGAAGAAGTCATCTAGGGCCTGTTTTGTTGGAAGCTTCGGACAACTTGCTCGGCAAAACTTGTTGTCCGGGAGTTGTCTCAAAATTTGATGAAATCTGTCTGACTAGGCAAACTTGAGAATGGCCTGTTTGGTTGGAAGCCTGTGCCCGAGAAAGTTAATACTAGAAAACTTTCTAACTTACATCTAATTGATTTTGTTATACACTTTGATTGTACTATTAAATGGTAATACATCAATTAATCTAGCAAGAAACATATTTGGATCAGATTTTTTTTTTCAAATTTTTTTGCGAAGTATTTAATCTAGTCATGTAAAAAAATGCAAGAAAATCATGATAAAGTTGAATAATATTGTGATGTGTATATATTCTAATATTCGCGTCGTCTAAAAGCTAACACGGGCTGCTTCATCTTCTATTTATATATGTCTCCTTATCTCCTAATCATGATGGCGCAAAGTCACTAGCCCAGGCAATCACGCTGCAACGACCTATGATAGCCTGGCCACATATCGGCATCCCAGAGCCGACAGGCCATGTATGAAGAGCGGAGGGCCTGTCGGCTGTCGACAGCCAATAGACATCCTGTCGGGCCAGCGGAAGGCCGACAGGAGCTAAAGCATCAGGACCCGCGCTAGCTCTCCCACTGCAGCAGCGCCTGCAGCCGCCACCGCTTCCCACCCGGCCCATGGGCTGCTCGGCGGTTTGTGAAGGTAAGTTTTTTTTAATTTAGATTTTTTTTTTTGGTTACTTTATTAGTTAGTTTAGTTAATTAGATTAGTTAGTTAGTTTAGTTTTAGGGTTTGTTTAGTTGTAGATTAGGGTTTGTTTAGTTTGATTTTGTTTTTTTAGTTAGTTTAATTTAGTTTAGTTAGATTACTTAGTATATTTAGTTAGTTTAGTTAATTAGATTAGTTAGTATAGTTTTAGGGTCAGTTTTTTAGGGTTAGTTTTAGTTGTAGATTAGGGTTTGTAAGATTCTCTAAGTTATGGTGTATGTTATATGTCCGGAAAAGAAGATCAAATATTTTTAGTGTCGCTCGAAAAGTGGTAAAGTTTTTTGCGTGGCAATGGTTG